TGTGTGTGTGTGCGTATGTGCCCGCGTGTGTGCGTGTGAGTGCGTGTTTGTGTATGTATTTGTGTGTATGTGTGTGTGTTCGCATATGTGCCCACGTGCGTGCGTGTGTGAGCATGTTTGTGTGTGCGCGCACGCTTGATAAGTGTACACTGGTCCCCAATTGTTTTCCCTGACCCGATCATGCCGTACACATGTTCACCCCGCTTAAACTGTCGATGATTTCTCAGTCTCCTCATATCCTCGAATACAGAAATAGCCCCCTTTTTAAAAAAAAGCCTACTCAAATAAATTCCGAGCATGGCTAACAATGTTGACTTATTAAAAGGAGACAGAATTCATATTAACATTGATATCCTGCGAAGTACAAAAAGTTCTTGTGCCCTTCGATTCAAGTTTATTTCCAGATCGCATGGCTCGGGTCCTTGAAAACATCATTTTCAAATCATTTTTTATTTGGTGCACCTTAACAAACAAGATTCTAAATGAAGAAACCTTTCTTATCTGTCTTTTTACAAAAAGTACTAGCAGCGGCTTGTGAACGCCGACGTCATGATCCTATATTATGTTATGCTCGCTCTTGAATCGAGTAAACGCATTGTGAAATTCCATCTATGCCGGGCTGTCACTGGAAAATTGAAGACAAGTTTATGAAGATATCATATGAACGAATGTCAGTCCGCGAGCTGTTTTGACGGGATGCACACAGAATATCATAAATAAGGACGATGGGACAGGAGGAACATAATGTTCATGTACATTAGTAAACGCTGTAGTGTTCATGCTGTATTAGTCTAAATCAATGCTTGTCAACCTTTTTAAAGCCACACTAAAGAAGCTAACATTTTCGTACAGCTCACCTACCAAGGCTAGCGTATTTCCGAGATGGCTTAATAATAACTACTATCACTACCCGGGTGATCCCCACCGCCCACCAAAATAACCATATCGCCCACAAGTGGGTGATACCGCCCAGGTTGGTAAGCTCTGTTCTATAGAAAAGGGAGAGACAGAGAGAGACAGAGAGAGAGAGAGAGAGAGAGGTGGGGCGAAAGAGCGAGAGAGAGAGAGAGAGAGAGAGAGAAAGAGAGGGAGAGAGAGAGAAAGAGAGAGAGAGAGAAAGAGAG